TCAATCCAGTATATATATTTTTTAATTAGAAGGAGAAACATCAAAGAACAAACAGCATCGGACCAAAAAACACCAAGTATAAATACAAAGAACAGAAACTAAAGCAGGACAGGGTTGTAAAAAAATTATTTCAAACTCTGAACATCTCACAGATCATTGTTCAATGTATTATCCAAAAATGGAAATAGCCTAACATATGCATAAAGTGATTTAATAGTGCTATTTTATAGCACAATCAAAATAAATTTGATTGTGCTTGAAATTAGGATCTTGAAATTGGGTCTCTGTCTCTTTAAAAGCTTTTTCTCTTTCTGAAACTCCGTCTTCAGGAAGTCATCACAACATGGGTCCTCTGTTAACCCTTTAACAACGTTTTCACCAGTGTTTCGCTGAGAAGTAGCTCGTAATAATGAGTGCAGCCGATGCACAGTCCCACCAGCTGTTTGCTAATTGCTCCTGGCTAGTCTGAAGGAGCTGAGCACCGGAGTCACAGGTGAGGGCTGCTCTGCGATTTAGAAGTACAGAAGCTTGGAAACTGCAGCCCCAAGGAGCAACAGCATCTCGTTGCCACGGGAGATTAAAGGATTCCTCAGACATGCATGGAAGAATCAAGGCAACACTCCAGCTGTGTTTCTGATGAAAGAATAACATTACAAGGTGATGAACAGCTCAGAAATGTTGATTTTTCATAATACTGTCCCTTTTGAAAAGCAGTCGAACTTTCACACAGCCACCTACCAAAACACAGCTGTCAGGACTTGGAAAGAAGCTTTTCCCAGAACGGATCCACCTTCACAACAAAATATATTTCAGTGTGTGGTTGTAACGTGAACAAAGCAGAAAAAGTTTAAGGCGTCTGAATAGAAAGTGCTACAAACTTTCTAATTATGGACAGTAGGAATGAAAACAGAAAAAGCTCCTCCGCATTGATTTAAATAATTTCCGTACATAATTTTCGAGCATCTTGCCAGTTTTCTTTGTTTCTGCAGATTTATTCCAGCTTCTGATCATTTACAAGTCCTGGCCCCCGAAAGTTATTTCACACCTCAGCACACCGGAAACTCGAATGAGATGTTTAATTAATTTTTTCTGCCATTAACTTTATTCTATCACATTCCACTCGAAAAGAGTGGCACCCTCGTAACCGTGTGCTGCATAATCACATTTCTGCACGTCCTTGCTTCCCAACTTGAGGGAAGTAGTTCGCTGCTCCCTTAAAGCCTTTTTCATCCACGCCGAGTTGGCGGCCCGCAAGTAAACATGCAAGTAACCTTCCCCCGGACGAACCCTGCCTTTTGTCAGTTCGCTGCAGTCATTGATACTCCAGTATTGTGGGCTGCTCTGGCTAATTGCTAAACATGTCCTTGTCAATCAAGCCTCTCCCCAACTGGCAACCCGCTCAGCTCATTTTGACGAACAGCCCGGGAGGAGTAATTGTGGTCCACCCGGCAGTCGCCTGACTCCGTTCCATTAGTGGCTGTATATTGCAAATGAGTCAAGCTGGTTGTTCATCGTAGACCTATTCAAGCTTAGGCATGAACTCAATGGCATTTTTTTTTTTTTTACAGATGGGTCAAAAAGAAAGAGGAGTGAGGGAATTAATTGTGTTTCCAGGCAGTGCGGGATGTTTTCTTCATTTCATGAACCACAACGCCTGAGCAAGTGTAAAACGGTGAGAAATTTGAGTCACTAAGCAGCTTAGTGTGGGAGAGAGCTGAACCCAGTGTAGCGATTTATCAGGCGTCTTGATTATATTCAGATACTGAAATCATATCAGTCTTGCATCCATCGAAAGTCAATATGAAGGGTGAATTTGTTTTAATCAGCTAGGCCGTCGCATGATTTGAGTAGAAATAAAATAAAATTTATTTATCAGAAAATATGTATGCGACTCCCTATGTTCGCACACTATGTATGGACAGCTGTCTAAAAGTCATTTTCTTGTGCTTGTTGTGGATTTTTATGTTATAAATGCTCACAGACCACTGAAGTGGACACTAATGCATCATAAAATACACTATCAACTACTGGCCTTCAGGTGCAGAAATTATTTTAGTTAAATCCCATATGGCCGACAGACAAAAAAGCACAGCTACTGACCCGGTCCCTCCTTCTGCTGTAGACGACTCCTGCAAGTAAAAAAAATATCGTGACATAAGATAACCTCTAAAGAACAATACTACTGATGTATTTTTCAAATAATAACTTTGTTTTTGGAGAAAATTACAATTGATCCCCGAAAAAAAAAAAAAAAAAAACATTTTTTTTTTTTACAAAATTTATTTTTAGGTTTTTTTATGCCTTAAGAAAATAAAAAAAAAGTGAAAAAATCCTGACACAAAGGATCATAATTCATGCATGAAAGGGATTTATATTGAAACTAGTCACAAAGGACGCTTAATCATATATATTTTAAGGATGAACTCTCTCGAATTCTACATATATGACGTAGCTCAAAAGGAAAGCTTTGAAAGAGACAAAAGGGATTAACTTTTGAGTTATCAAAGTAATGAAACACCCCTCAATAAGTCAGACTGGGCCTCTTGACCTGTATTCCTAACTGCCCCGTCTTCTCAGGTCCGCTCACAGGGCAACCATTTTGTTTTGTCACAAACCAATCCTGTACAAGCGTTTCTTTTGGTTCTGATCTGGTTGGTTGGTTTTGTCTCTTCTTCCTGTAATTTTGACCACTTAATCCGCTTTATATTACAGCCACACCCACCCAGTCGCACTCACCAAAGCACACACGTTTAAACACCAATGCAGAGATCGGTAGGCAGCGCGGGGTTAAGCGTCTTGCCCAGAGGCACAGCGATGTGCAACAGGAGGAAGCCGGATTCGAGCCAGCAACTTTCCAACTGCAAGACAATTACTCTACCCACCTACTCTACTCTCTCTGAGGGTTAAGAACAAATGTTACCTGTGTGACCAAAGCTACTGACTAATTCAAGGTCTAAAACATGCAATCTACTTCTTAGAATAAAATATTATAAGTTTAACACCCAGTACAGTAGGTTATAACCCACCATTCAATAACCATGGATCATTTCAAAAGTTTAATGAATTTCAAGCAAACAAACCAAGGATAATTTGTTTTAAAGAGCGTTATTTAACATGTATCGCCATACATCTAATTGATCATATCAATGTATGTCAGACAGTCTCAACACATCATCTGCAGGATGAAGTGGTGTTTTTCCTTAAAGGTGTAAAAATGTGGGTCCATTTTAAGGTTTTTTTTTTTTTTTCAGCTCCTGTAGCTGAATGGATCTTGCCCACAAACCTCATCTGACACAGCAGTGTGGTTTCCTGAGGTGCCCAAGCGGCTTCCCGGAATGACAAAACAGTGCCTAACCCCGGGGGAGGCTGAGACACAACAGAAACTGCTGAGTTATCACTCTACGATAACGGCAGTACAACGATCAGCTAGAAACACGAGAGGCCAGATGACTGTATCATTACTGCAGCTGGCAGCAAAAACATGCTATTTATATAGAAGGAAAGCTACTCAGTGGGGTATAATGGGAGGCTTTGAAATGGTCATCAACAACCATAAATGTCTCTGGCTCCAATAAAGCACTGCAGCAATTTGTAACCCAAGATCCATTCTCCAACCTCAGTTCAAGTGCTTTTTTTTTTTTTTTTTTTTTTTTTTTTAGTAAAGCACCAAGCACCTGAGATGTGTCATTAAAGCCATCTCGAGATTCTGAAACGGGCGTAGGGGAGTCGACGTAAAATGAGGAGTTGGATCTTTCGAGCGTTCCTCTCTCCAATAATCCCAAGGAGGGCGTCCGGATTCAGAGAGGTTCCACTTGGCTGGAGAGAAACATTTTCTGAATTTAAAAGCTAACCAATTCTTCAGCATGCCACCCGCTCACATGAAGCGTTAAATTCAACTCAAAGTAGCAGCGAAAAAAAGGAGATTTGCATTTTTTTTTCCCTATACCAGCTTTAGAGCTCTATGGGTTGGTTGAAGATTTGCATTATGGGGATTTTTTCCCCCTTCTACTCCCAACTAAAGGAACTTAAATGTGTCATCATAGCTTCCTTTGGCACCCCTTGGGTTTTGTATGCTAAGCTTCATCCCTTAGGCAGAGAAACATTCAAAACTCCATTAAAAGTGCTTTTAAAAAGTCAGAAAATAAATTTCACAAACAGTCGCGGAAAAGCCGTTCAACCCTACACCGACACAAATTATTGGATTTCTAATTACAGCGTTTTTGTGGAGGCTGGGATTTGACACAAAATCATCCAGCTTAAAAAAAAAGAAAGAAAAAAGATCTAATTAAAAGTTTGTTTTTTATTGCAGAAAATCTCAGAAAAACTTTTACCACCCTTCTAATACGCTGCCTTTTAATTAAGACAAATCAAATTCTCACCAGAAATCAAGCTGCATTATAAATCCCCTGTGATAACATGCAGCTCCTTTGGAAAAGTACATCCATGGAACGTTTCTCGTATTGTTACAATAACGTACTCCAGTCTAGTCTCCTCGGCTTAAGTTAAGTTGCATGCACTGCCATGTACTGGCAGGTTTCCAATTGTGCCACAGTCTTGCCATTTTCAGATGACGGACTGAACAGTTCTGTGTTTGGATTAGGTTATAATCTATGTTTGGATTATAACCTAATCTTGCTGTTAACTTTTCCACAACTTTGCCGTCACAGAGCAGTAGTTGGATGAGATGAATGTACACAAATCCATATTCATATGTTCTGCTGCCAGCTGGTAGCATGGACTGATTTCATTTAGCAATTTTAGAATAAAAAGTATTGCCTTCAAATTCACACCACATGCTTCAAATGTGTGTTTAAAACCACAGATAGTTCTCCTTCACAGTTATGTAATACTTTATTTTGGAATCATATGGATGCCCAATGAAATATTTTTTTGGTTGTAATATGACAAAGTGTGACAACGGCCAACAGGAATAAATACTCTTGTTCTGTGTTTGGAACAAGAGTATTCAGTTTTCAGTGTGGTATAACACAGCCCCTCACCCGCATGCCCAGCTCGATGTTCTCTCCTCCGTACACCTCCATGCCAGGATCCAGCAGACCGATCTCTCCAAAGTATTCCCGGTCGACCACAAAGGAGCAGCCAATCATAGCCGGAGTCCTGAATAACCAGAGAAAGACAGATTACAAAAAACAAAAAAACATTTAAAGACACTTTTTAAACTCTTTCTTCCAAAATTCCTCCTCAGGTTCTTCCACGGTAGCCAACCAATGTGCCTCTAATGTAGAAGTAAGAAGAGAATCTACTTATGGTCCTGCTTCCTAAAAAGGCTCAGAGTCTCTATCTGCACTCAGAGGATGAGTTTTACTATCACATTTCAAAACAAAGCATCTCTTAGACAGAAGTTATTTTTTGGGAGACGGAGGCACGGGGGCAACAAAAGGACCCTCCATATCTATTTTTCACTTTATTGCGTGCTGCACTGCAGTCTGCTTCAGAATTCTGTTCAGCTTCCACCTCAGCACAGACAGAAGCTTTAGAGATTAGGGAACATATGACTAAAACTGATAAATTAAAGTTTTACATCAGGCAGGTATAAAAAGAAAAAATCATATGGAAATGGTCTCTCATTTACGTGGCGTTCTCAAGTAGTAATGCTGATCTATCTTGATAAATTTGATCTAAGTCAACATACTTCTTTAAAGCTGCCTCAAGTTTTCAGTACTGGGCTTCAGTTGTTCTTTTTTTCTTTTTAATTGGATTTGGCAAAGTCAATTTTCTCCGTAAATGTTGATCTTGTAAGAACTATAGTCGGATTTGTTTGAATTTGGACGGAACAAGTCAGATACTTCGCAGGAGCACAAGTTCTGCTTGTACAAAGAAATGTTATATGTAACTTTTGTCAGTCTTCTTGACATGAAGGACATCAGCTAAACTGATAAACTGAAATGACTATTGACCCAACCCAGAAACCAGAGACGTCTTGATCCACGATGCATAAAATGTCCTCATATCATTCTTTTCACTTGGCAAATTAAGGACAAAGCTACAGATGAGCTAAATGACATTCTAACTGAGATGAATCAGTTAATGGTTTCAATGATTACCTTGGCTGTAGTGTAGGAGCCATTTAGCTTTTCCGGTATTTATCGCCACTAGGGGGCATATTTCATTTTGTGTCTGGAGGGCCATAGGGTTATTTAAGGTCAAGTGTGATTCTGTTTGGGTGTTGCTAGCGGGAGGAGGTAAACGGTTTTCTACTGTGCTTGGTTTGGATTTTATGTGGTTCTAAATGGAAATGGCAAAACAATAGATATTGCAAAGAAAATAACTGGCTTTATGATTATGAGTCAAGTTGAATATTGGCATAGCAAATTTTGATTGAGTGCCTGCCAGAAACAACAGCAACCACTGGCCTAAAATACAGGATTTTAGCCGCTATAAGTAGCTTAGGATAAAAATGGTTTCTATTGAAACGATAAATGCAATCATATGCGTTTTCTCAGACGAGTTGCAGCAGATACAAAGAGATAGTCGCATATGGATAAAAGCTCTGGGTGCATTGTGTGTTCAGGCTGCAGACTGTCATTCATCCCTGACAGATATTATTTAATATAGAAGGCATTCATTGAGGCTGAAGTTAAACTGCGATGCATATTTTTCTCTGTTACATATGCATTAGGGTGCCAGGCTCATTAAGGGGGAAAACAACATGACTCTGATTAGCAAACACCAGCTGTACCCTCTTAACTAAAAGGACTCGGACAAGAGCCGCATCATGTAGAGACTGAGCGCAACTAATAGGAAATATTTTGAAACAAACAAGAGAGAGCGTGTTTCTACCTGGGCGAGGCAGAAAAACCGCTGACCCACCTGCCGCTGGCAACCGGAGGAGCAAAAACCATCGAGCGACTCAGAAAAGCTTATCGAAGCTTTTACCGCAAAGACTTTATGAGCACCAAGAGTTCTGAGAAGCACTCTTCAGACGCAGCAGCCCTCAAAGATACTTCATCGACAAAGTAATCGGGACACTTGGCAACGGGACTAAAGGCAAGTTAGATCACTAAAAGCAGGTAGCTTTGTCCTTATTTACATATGAGTAAGGCCAATGGATTGTTAGCACAGGAGGCACAGAAGTGGAGTTTTTTAGAATAGAGCCATTTGTTTTCATTTTCTTTACCTGATATATTTGCATTCTCACTGAGGTAAAATCTCTCGCGTTCTATTAGAAGTTGTGTATTGTGTATATGACTGGGAATGTTTCTAGGCTGCAAAATGTTACATCAATAATCGATTTATATTGATGTCATGTAGCCTCCGAAATTGTAGTTGACTTGATGGTCAAGTGGCCCGTTGCAATATTGATAAAACACAATGTGTTATTTTCCACTTTGAAGCCACAGAGTTTCTCAGAGTAAACAGTTAAACCCAAATTTTCCATGCCCTCAGTAGATCAGGATGTAAAAGTATTTATTCAACCAAGACGTTTGTACAGGTAAGAATGAGGCTGGCATCTATGGAAAGAAAGTAAAATTATAGAAAAGGAAAGTAAATTCTTGTTTGGTTACAATCAATTAAAAATGGCATGTAAAAAAATGTACAATATTCCCAATAATCAGTAGAAAG